CCCCCCCCCCCTTACCAGAGGGAGTCCCCTTGTGGAGTACTGTGAAGCCATGGCAACTCCACTGCACTGTACAGTAGAAGCCATTTTGCGGCAGAACGTTAGAAGCCATTTTAAGCCACAACAGGTTGTATCTTAACAAAATACACACTCAGAGGGGTTTTAGGGGTGCCTTTACCCTCTACAGTAATTTTCTCCAGAGAGTAAGTCATCTGTGTACCAAGTTTGATTGAATTTGCTCGAAACGTTCCAGAGTTATGCTGGAACATACACAAACATTTATATATATAGAGAGAGATAATGGATATAATAAGTTTATATAAATTTATAGAATAAATTTCTTTAAGAAAAATAATACATTATAATTTATTCTTCAATAAATAGAATAAATGATTATTGCTAATCTGGTTCCCTCCTTACTAGTCTTACTTACACGTACGTGAGGAATTACTTTCCACAGCCTGAATGACACCTAAAAGAAGGGAAAACAAGAATGAATTAACATTTTAGACCAGTCTTTTGCCATCTCCCTATGGAACGATCTACCCCCAGAGATCCGGACCCTCCCCACTCTCTCGGCCTTCCGAAAGTCCACTAAGACCTGGCTATTCCGGCAGGCCTGGGGCTGTTGATCCTTGATCGAGTTCCAGCCCCACTAAAGTTGAGTGCAAGTTGTGTCCTTTTAACTTGTTTTGTCTCCTTATTTTAAATTTCTTAGTATTTTTTTAAAACTGTTTTTATGTAAGCCGCCCGGAGTCCTTCGGGATTGGACGGCATACAAATTCATTAAATCTTAAATCTCAGCCATTATAAAGTGCGTGGACTTCAATTCCCAGAATTCCCGTCGGAGTCCTGTGAAGCCATGGCAACTCCACTGCACTGTACAGTAGAAGCCATTTTACGGCAGAACGTTAGAAGTCATTTTAAGCCACAACAGGTTGTATCTTAACAGAATACACACCCCAAGGGGTTTTAGTCGGGGAATTCTGGGAACTAAAATCCAGCCGACTCAAAATGGCCAACACACACGCTTCTAGATTAATTTGCTTCCCCACCCCTGCATCTCACACAGGTCCTTATGAACTTAAGATCATGGTTTGAGATGGTGGTTTTGACAGCTCATCCCCAACATTTTCGTTGTAGTCATGCCAAGATATGCGGTCCTTTCCTTCGCCTTATTATTGAGTCTGCCATCTTCCCCTCCGTAACTATCTGGTTTGGTTCTGCAACCCAAAGAAACAGATACAGACTTCAGAGGAGAATCAGAACTGGAGAAAAAAACCGTTACGGCCAGCCTGCCTTCCGTTGAGGACGTGCATACTGTACGAGTCAAAAAGGGGGCCGTGAAAATATTTACAGACCCCCTCGCATCCTGGACATCAATTGTTTCCACTTTTACCCTCAATGCTACAGGGCACTGCACACCAAGACAACTAGACACAAGGACAGTTTTTCCCCCGAACGCCATCACTCCGCTAAACAAATAATTCCCTCCCCACTGGCCAAACCATTGTCTGAGGCTGCATTGCTGTTACTATTAGTCTTCTCATGGTTCCCATCATGAGAGCCGAGGTGGTGCAGTGGTTAAATGCAGCACTGCAGGCTACTTCAGCTGACTGCAGTTCGGCTGTTCAAATCTCACCGGCTCAGGGTTGACNCTATCTATCTATCTATCTATCTATCTATCTATCTATCTATCTATCTATCTATCTATCTATCTATCTATCTATCTATCTATCTATCATCTTCTTCTGCCAAAGACGGGAGTAGAATTCACTATCTTCTTGTGATTGGCCTAAAGTCCACCCATCTTAAAATCGCTGAGGTACAGAAACACCGTCTCAACTGGCTTTCATGAGACTAGAACTCACGGTCAAGTGGCTGGCATGGCTAAGCGCCAAAGGTGCACGTAAACGCTCTTCCCTTCCCACCAAAGGTGGTGCCTATTTTTCTACTTGCATTTTTATGTGCTTTCAAACTGCTAGTTCGGCAGAAGCTGGGACAAGTCACGGGAGCTCGCTCCGTTATGCGGGCACTCGGGATTCGAACCGCCGAACTGCCGACCTTTCTGATCGACAAGCTCAGCGTCTTAGCCCCTGAGCCACCGCGTCCCTATCTGTGCTATACTTGACAACATTTCAACTCATTTCTCTTATCAACAAAGTCATCGAAACCGGAAAACAAAGTTTCATTCCCCACCCCCTTTAAAAATCCAGAAGCAATTCTCAAATGCAGGTAGTCCTCGACTTACAACGGTTCGTTTAGCGCCCCTTCAAAGTTGCAAAGGCCCTGAGGAGAAAGTAACCGTTGACTGTTCTTCACACTTACAACCGTGGCCACAACTCCAGGGTCACATGTTCAAAATTCAGACACTTGGCAACTGATTCATATTTATGACGGTTGAAGTATTCCTTTCGGGAACATCCGGCCAGCAAAGTCAAGGGGGGAAAGCCTGATTCACTTAACAACCGAGTTACTAAGTTGACAATGCAGTGATTCGCCTAACAACGGTGGCAAGAAAGGTCGTAAAATGAGGCAAAACCAGTGGTGAAATGCAGCCGGTTCTGTCTGGGTGAATTGGTAGCGGCCCTGAGCAAAACATACTTAATGACTGTCTTGCTCAGCATTCGGGATTTAATTGTGGTTGTAATTCGAGGACTTCCTGTCGAAACAGAACTAGATCCAGTCTTATTTTTAATCAAACTTCAACTCCCAGAATTCCAGAGTCAGACGTGCTGGCTCTGGAATTCTGGGAGTTGAAGTCCACAAGTCATAAAGGGGCCATTTCTGCTTTAAATTTTGCGATGCCCGAAGAAGAATGATGGGAATGAAATGTCCCCAATTTACAACCTTTCATTTAATGGCCGTTTGACGTTACGCCGACACTGGGAAAAAGTGACTTTTCACACTATACGACCGTTGCTGCATCTCCAGGGGCCATGTGATCAAAATTTGGCAACCGACTCATATTTACGACGGCTGCAGTGTCCCCGGGGTCACGCCATCCCCTTTTTTGCGACCTTCCGGCGAGCAACGTCAACGGGGAAGACAGATTCACTTCACAACCGACTTAACTTTTAACAACCGCAGCAGAAGTGGGCTCCTACCAGTTCGGTCCGGTTCGGCCGAGTCGGTAGTAACTTGGCCGGGCACATGCCCGAAACTGTTCTATCGGTGGCGCCATAGGCACCGCCATCATGTTTTTTGCTTCTGCGGATGTGTGAGTAGCGAGGATCAAGCACGGGCGTTCTACTCCCCCTCCCCACCTGAAAAGAACTCTGTTCCAACTGCCGCGTGTCCCTGAGAGAACCGGCAGTAACAGACGCCACAAAACACCCCTGAGTCACAGGGATTTGTTGAACGACGGCGTCACAACTGCAAAATTCAGGGCGAAGCTCCCTTCGCGAGTCCCGCGCTCAGCAATGGACATTTCGGTCTCCATCGTGGTCGTAAGCCGAGGACGACCGGTAGAAACCAAAACAGGATCCATTCTTCTCTTTAATCGAAAAGTCGGTTTCTCTACCTCCGAGAGGTTTCGCTGTTCCACAAAACAGACGTTTGCCTCCTCCTCCTCCTCCTCCTCCTCCTCTTCCTCCTAGCTCAGTTCACGGGCGAGTAAATGCAGACTAATGNTTTGTTTTTCCAAGCACGGGCATTTGAAGAAGCCTGGACTTCAACTCCCAGAATTCTCCAGCCAGGAAAAAGCAAAGGATTCTGGGAGTTGAAGTCCAACGCTGCTTCGCTCTCTCCCCCCCCCCACCCCCAAACTTGGCGGAAAACAACAACGTCGCTTTCTTCCATCACCCGGCTGCCCTCTCGCGGTCTCCCGAGGTCATTGCAGCCTCGGTAGAGTCACGTGATCTGCAATATGTTGAGGTCTGAATTTTTCAATCGAATAGAATAGAATTCTTTATTGGCTCAGCGTTATTGGACACACCAGGAATGGGTCTGTGGTGCATATGCTCTCAGTGAACATAAGAAGAATAAAAATACATTCATTCCTTTTCCCCCCTTTTATATATAACACTTGACTCCCCCCCCCCCCCGCAGTTAGTAAGCTAGTCCACTTTACATAATAAAGAGTTCTCCCCTTCAGCTGCAGAGGGATGGAATTAGAGCATGATAATATCGGCCCTTTACCCAACTCTGTGGTCCTGTCCACCATTAAAACCATCTTTCCAAGCAGCCTCCATGTCACCAGTGTCTTTTTACCCACTTGGAGCCGAACCCAACAGGTTAAATGAGTGGGTGGATTCTTCTGGGGGGGGGGAGTGCAGTGAAGAGGCCTGTGTTTTGCAAGGGTGGTGGGCAATTCCTATTGGTGGCTAATGGCCTTCGTCCTGTGCTGGATCTTGGGTGAAGGGATGCTTGTTCTAATCCTACCATTCTGCCTTTTTTAGCTGTCAAACTTTGCGAAAAATCTCCTCTGATTCTTCCCTCCTTCTTCCTCCTCCTCCAGCTTCTTCTACTTCCTACTCTTCTTCCTTTTTCTCATTCTCCTCATTCCTCCTCCTCTTCTTCTTTTCTTCCTCCTCCTCCTCTGCCTCTTCCCTCCTCTTTCCTCCTCCAACTCTTCTTCCATTTCCATTTCCTCTTCCTTCTCCCTCCTCTTTTTTCTCATTCTCCTCCTTCCTCCTCCTTCCACTCTTCCTCCTCCTCCCTCCTTCTTCCTCCAACTTCTTCTTCCACTTCCTTTTTATCTTCCTTCTCTTCTTCCTTTTTCTCATTCTCCTCATTCCTCCTCCTCTTCTTTCTTCTCTTCCTCCTCCTTCTCTTTCCTCCTCCTTCCTCCTCCTCCTCCAACTGTTTCTTCCAGTTCCATTTTCTCTTCCTCCTCTTCTTTTTCTCATTCTCCTCATTCCTCCCCCTCTTCTTCTCTTCCTCCTCCTCCCTCTCTTCCCTCCTTCCTCCTCCACTTTCTTTTTCCGCTTCCTTTTTCTCTTCTTCTTCTTCCTTCTTCCTACTTTTTTCCCATTCTCTTCATTCCTCTCCTCCTCCTCCCTCCTACTTCCGCCTCCACCAACTTCTTCCACTTCCTTTTTCTTTTCCTCTTCCTCCTCTTTTTTCTCATTCTCCTCATTCCTCTTCCCTTTCTTCTTCTCCTCCTCCTCTTCCCTCCTCCTTCCTCCTCCTCCAACCACTTCCTCCTCTTCCTTCTTTCTTTCTCCTCCTCCAACCTTTTCTTCTACTTCCCTTTTCTCTCCCTCTTCTTCCTTCTTCCTCCTTTTTTTCTCATTCTCCTCATTCCTCTTCCTTTTCTTTCTTTCTTCTTCTTCTTCTTCTCCTCCTCCTCCTCCTCCTCCTCCTCCTTTTCCTTCTCGTCCTCCTCCCCTCCTACTTCCTCCTCCAACCACTTCCACTTCCTCTTCCTTTTTCCTCCACTTCTTCCTTTTTCTTATTCTCTTCATTCCTCCTCTCTCCTCCTGTTCCTTCCTTCTCATTCCTCCTCCTCCAACCTCTTCTTCCACTTCCTTTTTCTTCCTTCTTCCTCCTTTTTTCTCATTCTCCCACTTCCTCTTCCCCCTCTTCCTCTCCTTCTCCTCCTTCATCATCCATCGTTTCCGATCCTCCTTCTTCTTCTAAACCCAAGTGGATAAATTTGCAGGAGGAGAAAGGAGACCGGTCAACTTTAAAACTTTCCCATCGTGCCGAGGACAAAGACCCTCTGGAAAATAAAGTCGATTCACGGCACAAACCCACCAACTTGGCCGGGCTTCTGTTGATCTGCCACCAGAAGTGCCTTTGTGAAGTTCTTCTTCCTCCTCACCCCTACATTCCACAGATTGGGGTTTTTATTTTTTATTCTATTTTTTAAAACATTTTTCCTTTAGCTCTCCAGCTCCAGACGTGGTTTCTGGCATTTACATTTTGCTGATTCCAATATTTTTTTTAAGCTTTCCCACGTCCGCTTTCTCCCTCCCTCCTCCTCTTTCCTTTATTTTTTTGAGGAGCGGGGTGTCTGGATTCCAGGAAGAACCGTCTAGAATTCGCACCGATTTTTAGTTACCTGGGGGAAGAGAGAGAGAGAGAGAGAAAGAGAAAAAAGAAATGTATTTAGGGAGAAAGTAGGGAAGGGCTTCGATTCCCTCCCACACAAAGAGGCATCTTGTGGCTTTCGGAAGGAGCAAGAGAAGCCCCTTTTAATGACGGTTTCCGGGAAGACAGACGGGCGAGAATTGGGAGGTTTCGAACTCAGCAAAATCGGAGGGCTGAGTCAACTAGGCAAGCCAGTATCCCCAGATGGCTGACTGTGGGTGGCTGGGGGGGGCAGGCAGGGATCATAAAGGGAGAAGACAGAGGTGGGGTGGGGTGGGGGGGTTAGGAATCTGCTGAGGAACCAAAAAACCCGCAACTTTTGGAGAGCAACAAAAGCTTTTGGCTTTAAGGGGTTGGCAGATTTCGATTTTCCTTCCGACGGGATGCTTTTCTCGGCTTCTCAGAGACTTATTTCTGAAGTTCGACAACTTTACAACTCCCAGAATTCCCCTGACAGGGGGATGGGGAATTCTGGGAGTTGGAGTGCACCCCTCTCAAAGTCGCCGGAGTTCAGAAAAACAGTTCCACCACAAATCCGCGAAGCGCTTATCCGCAGAGACATAAGCGCGAAGACTAATTCGCGCCGTTCAAAGCACTAAGGAAAAACACGACCCTACCACGATGACACAATCGCGGAGGGCAAATCCGCGCATTCCCAAGCACTCAGTACCCTAAACCTAACCCTAAACCTAACCCTAAACCTAACCCTAAACCTAACCCTAAACCTANCATGGGAAATCTAGGGGAATCTTGGGGAATGAAGAGGCTTGTGGGAAATCAAGGGGGACCATGAGAAATCAAGGGGGATCTTGGGGAAATCAAGGGGGACCATGGGAAGCAAAGGGGGATCATGGGAAATTAAGGGGGACTTTGGGAAATCAAGGGGGATCATGGGAAATCTAGGGGAATCTTGGGGAATGAAGAGGCTTGTGGGAAATCAAGGGTGGACTGTGGGAAATCAAGAGGGATTGTGGGAAAATGAAGGGCGATTGTAGGAAACAAAGGGGGATCATGGGAAATCAAGGGGGATTGTAGGAAATCAAGCGGGAACATGGGAAATCAAGGGGGATCTTAGCGAATGAAGAGGATTCTGGGAAATCAAGGGGATTGTGGGAAATGAAGAGGGATCATGGGAAATGAAGAGGGATCATGGGAAATCAAGGGGCACCGTGGGAAATTAAGGGGGGAACATGGGAAACAAAGGGGGGATCGTGGGAAACAAAGCGGGATTGTGGGAAATCAGGCGGGAACGTGGGAAATCAAGGGGGAATGAAGAGGATTCTGGGAAATCAGGGGGGATTATGGGAAATTAAGGGGGACTTGGGGAAATCAAGGGGGACCATGGGAAGCAAAGGGGGATAATGGGAAATGAAAGGGAACTGTGGGAAATCAAAGGGGACCATGAGAAATCAAGGGGGGGGATCTTGGGGAATGAAGAGGATTGTGGGAAATCAAGGGGGATTGTAGAAAACGAAGGGGGATCAGGGGAAATGAAGGGGGATTGTGGGAAATCAAGCGGGAACGTGGGAAACGAAGGGGGATCATGGGAAGTGAAGGGGAACTGTGGGAAATCAAGGGGGACCCTGAGAAATCAAGGGGGAATCTTGGGGAATGAAGAGGATTGTGGGAAATCAAGGGGGACAGTGGGAAACGAAGGGGGATCATGGGAAGTGAACTGTGGGGAATGAAGGGGGACCGTGGGAAAATCAAGGGGAGGGGCGTGGGAATTCAAGGGGACCGTGGGAATGAAGGAGAATCATAGGAAACCAAGGGAAAGGGGGGGGGAATGGAAAGTGGGGGGGGGTCGCTCTCACCCAGCAGGAGCCCCAGCAGAATGAGGCAGGGGGCACCCCTCCTTTTGGCTGGGAGGGGCTGTCGGGCGCCCATCGCCCTCCGGATTGGAAAGGAGAGGAGGCTGATCTTCGGCCGGGTTTGGTTGCTCGGTCGGTCGGTCGGTTCGATCCCCCCCACCCTCGCTTCTCCCTTTCAATCGCCCATCTTCTCGGAGTCCGCCGGCTGCGCTGGGCGCTGGAGGTTCCACCGGTCTGTTGTTTTGGGGGTTTTTTTCTCCTCCTCCTCCGGGCGGCCCCCTCCCCGCTGTTGAGAAACTTTGTTTTCTCCGGGAGCTTCCGGGCTTTGGCAACTTTGTCAGCCGGGGAAGGGCGGGGAGGTGGGGGGAGAGACAGCTACGTGACGCCGCCTCTTCCTCCGCCGGAGCCCATCCCGCATCTGCGTTCACACGCGCTTACTCCTCCCTTTCCCTCCCTCCCTTGATCCGGGCATCGTGGCTGGGGGGGGGGCTTCTTTGATCCTCCCCCACCCAGCCCCTCCCCCAGCCCCGATCTGCCCTTCTAAGGGAGCCGCATCCCCCTCCCCTAATTCCCACCCACCCTCACCCACCCCACCGCTTGGGGGGGTCCCGCGTGTCTTGGGAAGGGGGCTTTTGGGTCCCCTTGGGGGGGGGGTCCCGGGGTTGCATAGGAGGGATTCCCCCCACTCCCATTCCCGATCTGCGGGGTGAGTGTGGGTGGGAGGGGGTTCCTTTGATCCCCTCCCCCAGCCCCGATCTGCCCATCTAAGGGAGCCGCATCCCCCTCCCCTTATTCCCACCCACCCTCATGGGAATCGGACCGCTTTGGGGGTCCCGTGTGTCGTGGGAAGGGGTCTTTTGGGTCCCATGGAAAATGGGGGGGTCCCGGGGCTGCATAGGAGGGATTCCCCCCACTCCCATTCCCGATCTGCGGGGTGAGTGTTGGTGGGAGGGGGTTCCTTTGATCCTCCCCCCCCAGCCCCGATCTGCCCTTCTAAGGGAGCCGCATCCCCCTCCCCTTATTCCCACCCACCCTCACCCACCCTGATGGGAATCGGACCGCTTGGGGGATCCCGCGTGTCGTGGGAAGGGTGCTTTTTTGGGTCCCCTGGAAAATGGGGGGGGTCCCGGGGCTGCATAGGAGGGATTCCCCCCACTCCCATTCCCGATCTGCTGGGTGAGTGTGGGTGGGAGGGGGTTCCTTTGATCCCCCNATAAAGGTGTAATGTTATTGGAGATCTATTGAAATTGCAAATGAACGCCAGTAGGTGATTGTGTCTTCTAATATAAATGATTCTAGATAAAAACATGTTTAAACAAGGGTAATCAAATGAGAATTATGGTACGGAGATAGTAAAATACATATTCTTGACTTAAAATGTACAACCTGGTTTGAATGAAGCATATGTAAGGACTGTGGAAGAAACACACTGAATATATTTGTAACCAATCGATACGCTTTCAACAAGATGTAACGAAAGATGTGGGTTTTTTTGTTTAACTAAAACAATAAAAAAAAATTCTCAAAAAAAAGAAGAAGCAATGGATGGAAACTAATCAAGGAGAGAAGCAACTTAGAACTGACAAGAAATTTCCTGATAAAGAGAATAGTTAACCAGCGGAACAGAAGTTGCCTCCAGAAGCTGGAGGTTTTTAAGAAGATACTGGAAAGTCACTTGTCTGAAATGGTCTAGGGTCTCCTGTCTGAGCAGGGGGTTGGACTAGAAGATCTCCAAGGTCCCTTCCAACTCTTATTCTGCTACTGTTATTAATCAGTGGAACGACTTGCCTCCAGTGGATACTCCAACACTGGAGGTTTTTAAGAAGAGATTGGGGAACTAAATGGCTGAAATAGTAGAGAGTTTCCTGCCTGAGCAGGAGGGTTGGACTAGAAGACCTCCAAGATCCCTTCCAACTCCGTTATTCTATTATTGCTTTATAAATTTCCCAATCCATCCTACTAACATTCAGATTTGGGGATGCCCCATTGTTCTTAGCATGGAAGGTTGGACTACTAAGGAAAAATCTGGACCCCTGGAATAAACAGAGAAGAAGAAAAAATCACTGCATTCAGTTTTGGTCACCACACTATAAATAAGAGGTTGAGACTCTAGTAAAAAGTGCAGAGAAGAGCAACCAGGATGATGAGGGGACTGGAGGCTCAAACATACGACGAACGGTTGCAGGAACTGAGCATGGCTAGTTTAATGAAACGAAGGACCAGGGGAGACAATGATAGCAGTCTTCCAATATTTGAGGGGCTGCCCCAGAGAGGAGGGGGTGGTGTCAAGCTATTTTCCAAGGCACCCAAAGACCAGACAAGGAATAATGGATGGAAACTGATCCAGGAGAGATTCAACCTGGAAGTAAGGAGATGTTTTCTAAGTGAGAACAATCAACCGATGGAACAGAAGTTGCCTTCAGAAGTTGTGGGAGCTTCATCCCAAGAAGAGATTGGACTGCCATCGGCTGGAAATGGTGTAGGGTCGCCTGCTCGGGGGTGGGGGAGTTGGGGTTGGACTGGATGACCTCCAAGGTCCCTTCCAATTGTGTTCATCTGTGAAAGATCTAACAAGCAAGGCGTGGAAAGGCGGAATCAACACGCCTTCCTTTCACCAACCAAAACAAACTACAAAACCGGAAGCCACTTGCTTAAGAATGAGGTCGATCTGCCTTCCCAACTCCTGACCTTCAGCGCTGACTTCGGAGAACCAGGGGAAAGGGGAAATGGGGGGGGGGGAGGTTAGGTTTCCTCTGCAGCCCTCGAGGGGAGGAAGGGGGGAAGAGAAAAAGGGGGGGGAGTGGTCTCCTTGGCCCAAAGCTAATCTACCAACTCCTACCAGACTGGGAAGCATGGGAAATGGGGGACTGTGAGAAATCAAGGGGGATTGTGGGAAATCAAGGGGGATTGTAGGAAATGAATGGGGATCATGGGAAATGAAGGATTGTGGGAAATCAAGGGGGACGGTGGGAAACAAAGGGGGATCATGGGAAATGAAAGGGAACTGTGGGAAATCAAGGGGGACCATGAGAAATCAAGGGGGGGTCTAGGGGAATGAAAAGGATTGTGGGAAATCAAAGGGGATTGTAGAAAACGAAGGGGGATCAGGGGAAATGAAGGGGGATTGTGGGAAATCAAGCGGGAACGTGGGAAACAAAGGGGGATTGTGGGAAATCAGGCGGGAACGTGGGAAATCAAGGGGGAATGAAGAGGATTCTGGGAAATCAAGGGGGATCATGGGAAATTAAGGGGGACTTTGGGAAATCAAGGGGGATCATGGGAAATCAAGGAGGATCTTAGGGAATGAAGAGGATTCTGGGAAATCAAGGGGGATCATGGGAAATCAAGGAGGATCTTAGGGAATGAAGAGG